TGACGTGGCTGAAGTTCTGTCCAGGCTCTCTATTGCACATCTCCAACTTTCTCCGGGGATCAACCTAGCTGAGATAGCTGCCGAACAACGCCGCGTTCGTTCTCCCTTTGACAAGGACGTTTCCGGATTCTAACTTCAGGACCTGCCAATGACTACTGGCAACGGCACCATTCTATGCGACGTCTCCACTACTTTCCACCGTCCCTTTGTGCCGCCATCCCTCAGCCGCAAATTTTTCTCTTCCCCGCACAACCTTTCTCACTCTGGGAGTCGAGCTGCCAACAAGCTGGCTTCCGACCGCTTCGTCTGGCCTGAGATGCACAAGGACCTCAAAACATAGACAAGGGCGTGTCTCGGCTGTCAACGGAACAAGGTCTAAGGGCACAACAAAGCTCCCATCGGCACCTTCCTCACTCCGGATGCACGGTTCAGTCATGTCCACCTGGACATCAAAGGCCCTCTGCCTCTCTCCAATGGCTGTTCCTATCTCCTCACCTGTGTGACTCGGTTCACCCGGTGGCCTGAATCTATCCCCCTGCCTGACATTGCTACCCCGACGGTGGTCAAGGCTTTTCTCGGCCGTTGAGTTGCAATCTTCGGCGCACCGTCCACTATCACGACTGACCGCGGTGCCCAATTTGAATCTAACCTCTTCCAGTCTCTTCTCTCCTTTTTAGGTTATACTCGCATCCGCACTAAAGCCTATCATCAGGCAGCCAACGGGATGGTCGAGCGGTTTCACCGCCAGCTGAAGGCCTTCCTGCGTGCCGCAGACGATCTAAAGAACTGGACGGACCGCCTCCCCCTGGTCCTGTTGGGCATTTGCTCCTCCCTCAAGTCGGACCTTGACTGCTCTGCTGCTGAACTCGTGTTCAGTGCCACCGTCCGACAACCCGGTCAGATGATCTCGCCAACCCCGCAGGTTGCAGTCAAGGATCCTACCAACCTCCTGCACTGTCTCCGGCAATTTATGCGGACACTTTCCCCAGTTCCACCCAGGCCATCTGTCTCCGAGTCTTACCTCTAGATAGAGTTGGCGACATGCTCTCACGTCTATCTTCGATGTGCTCGAGTCCACCGGCCCCTGGAACCACTCTACGGCGGCCCCTTCAGAGTTATCTCTCGTGAGGCGAAGAACTTCCGCATTCAACGCGGAACTCGTGAGGAGGTCGTGAGTGTGGACCGCCTCAAAGCTGCCGTCCCGGACACTTCTCCGGATGAGCCCTGTGGTCCCCTACCTCCTACTCCGCCTCCCTGATCCTCTGTCCCTCCGTCCCGTATACTTCCTCTTCTCCCATGTCTGCGACCCTCAACTGCAACTACCTCCCCCCCCCATCAACCTCCAACACTGTAACTGCGAGCCACATTCACTCTTTACCTGTGCCCCCTGTACATATCACCCGTAGTTGACGCCATGTTCATTTTCCTGACCGTTGGTTACTCATGTTTTTAGACATGAACAGTTCCTTCGGCGTCGCTACGTGCCGCCTTCGGTATAGTTGAGGGTACTGTGGCAGTTCGCGTCTCCTTACCTTCCGTCCTTGTCACGCTGCCTTCCTGTCCGCCTCAGGCTCCCTGGCGATCCGCTGCTGGGACGCGCGAGGCTTGTCACTAGCCTCGCGAGTGCTCGAGGCCAATCAACGCTGTCCCTCCTCTGATTGGCTGGCGGACACTGAGACAATGAAAGGCGCACACGCGCTGGATCTGAGCCCCTCGAAGGCGACTGCTTACAGTTTACGCACTTCTACGGCAGTAAAGGTTGTCCAAATAAAATCGTCTTCCCTGACTTCTGAGTTGGGAATCTCAGTCTTGTCCATTACACCACTTTCGACAATATATTCGCGACCTTTGCTACCCACCTGGAGCCTGTTCGTTTCGAGAAGTCAATTCCCATAAAAATCAGATATTATCTTCTTTCTCAGTCGTTTATATTCTTGACATTTGTTCGCTCGATCCCTACACACTGTTAATTTAAGGGACCTATCCAACAGGTTGACCTGAGATCCAACTAGGTAAACATTCATTGGGCCAGCGTTAAAACTTTCAGGTGTCATTTGCCTCACCGAACGAGAGAGCTTTCGAGCCAGTTTTCGTCTTTCAAAAGGACAACTTAAGAGCGCGCGTCTATTAACTGGGATTCAGCTGTAGTCAAATAAGACCCAAAAAGTTCAGTGGCACGAAAATTACGTTAAATTTGACTTCAAAGGACAGGTGGGAATAACTGTCTGATTTCTCCTTTCTATAAAAATATCATTTACCCAGGCTGTATACAGTTGAAAACATCGGAGGAACCTAAAACGTACGCCAATAACTTTCGCTCCAGTGCCAACTTGCATACATTCGATTCAGGTTCGCCAGACTCGCGTTACAAGCCGGAATCCTCTGACTAGCCGAGAATCAGTCTCCCATGTGGGAGCCCAGACCTTATTAGTGGTAAACACTAACCTTTACCGCTCTACGGGGACGTGTTTGCACTAAACAGCATCAGCTTCACCGTCAATCATGTTCGCGTTATACACTTTCTGGAAGACCACGTGCGACGACCATGAAAAGAGAAGATTAAGTCGCGATTTTTTTCAGTCATACAGTATCAAAAACTGTACGAAGGCCACTAGGCGGCCAATACGAGCTAGCACAGCAGTATGTTAGGGCATGTACAGAGTTACCCTGATGAGTAAATAGTTAAAAGTGGGGGTGAGATAGATGAGGACTACGCGGCTGTAGCTAAGCGAAGCAGTGACACGAAGCACAGAGCGATGATTGCAGTAGTGCAGTTTCATGGAATGGTCGGCGAAGTGCACGAACCCACTCAGGCACGCTGAGGGGAGGAGGTGTTTTTTTGAGCGGGGGGGGGGAGAGGGGAGGGGAGTATGGTACACGACATTACTCCCCACCTCGGGGCGACGTCTCCTATTTGCCCTTCTTCCCCTTCTTTCCGCCCTGCTTCTTCTTTGTCCTCAAATCAACTATTTGCTGCGACTGTTTCTTCAGTGCAGTCCGGCTCGGCGCCGCCCCTTCATCCATTCCCATCTCATCATCCTCTGTGAGAAAACAACAAAAGAATTCACAATTAGCAAAAAATAGCACCACCTCGAGTTGTGGTGAATACTGAAGTCCCAGTTATTGGAGGGGATAGAGAAAGAGGCTGGCCGAGCACGGAAGCCATGAGTCTACGTGTCTGAACTTCCAAATTCTAGATGAGGTCAGTTCTCAGCGAGACCTATTGGATGGCTTTTCCCGCGGTTGTAGGCTACGATCGGACAATGCTTGCATGGACTCTACAACGACTGGTTGAAGACGACTTGGTCAGGGTGGGGGAGGGGCAACTTTGACCAAATGCACACGTTAAATACTGACTGGAGTCCCGCGATAGGCTCTTAAACAGAAAGTATTGCTTGAATAAAGCTGCAGGGCTGACTACCACGGTGTGTAATCCCAAGTTCATTCATATGGAGCATTAGTCTGAATTCTAATTGAGAATCTGTCTAACCTGGGCTTGGGAAGTGCATTATTATACACGCACTGTTGTACGCAATTTTCAATGCCTGCGTAAATACGGACGTCTTTTTAGGCAGAATTGTTAGGGCCTTTTACTTAATCCCACCGAGATTAGGATTAGAGTTAAGGAAGGGCAGGAAATGGAATTAGGATCCCCCTGCAGTACAGGTAGCTTTACGCCAGATCACAGAGAGAGTAGGGTTAAGGCCACCTCTACTACGGGGGTTCCTATTCCCCTGTTCTGCCCCTGACACGGGGACAAGCGCCCACGTCATAACTTAAACCCTAACCCCAACGTTAGCCATAACCCCCGCTGGAATTTGACGCAAAGCCACCTGTAATAAGGAAAGATGATTATTCTCACATCCTACCATAGTTCATTTATATCTACCAATTTTGAGACACAGGCTACGTTCTTACCCATTTTAAAGTTTTTAACACATGTTATGTATACTGTCTGGGATAATTCAAGTAAAGTTGTACTCCCCAATCAGAATACCCTCTCGTACTCAAAGAATATGAGAACCAGCATATGAATCATGTCACGTAGTTCGTGAGTATAAGTAAGAAAGTTCTTTTACATCTTTTCTACAACTACACTTGAATCTGCGCAGGAGTCAAAACGCAAGTGAAGAAGTTCCCATTAACTCAGTGATGACTTTTCTTTGAGCTCACTTTACGTGCATGGTCGGGAAGATGTTCAATCAAAAGAGAGCATCCCACTGGGGCATAGGTTCAGAGCTAACTAGATTTGCAGACCGGACCCCCATATGCACTGACTGGTCACAGTGAAGTCGATCGAAATTCAGGAAGAAGCATTCGCAATGGCCTTAAAAGAACCATTTTCAAGGGTAGGGCTCCTTTATATCTTTTTTCGCTAAATATTAAAGCAGAGCCTAGGTACAGAGTTCGCCTGTCTGAAACCACAGGCAAGACGTGTCTAAAAGTACGAAAGTCAAAAAATTCGGTCGTAAAAACTTGAACGCTGCTTCTGGTCTAGGCGATGCGGTTTTTGTAGGAAGTGTGTAGAAAACTCCGAGGAGCAAATCTCTCTGATTTACTCCTCGTCTTTGCGTTGACACTGCTGCTTCGTTTTCTCCTCCGTCCTTCTATGTGCCTTGCTTTCTCTTCTCCTTACTTGCGGTCTCTTTTTAGTCTTCATATTTTGTTTCGCTCCTATGAGCTGCCTCTAAAATGTGTCGGCGACTGGGCTTCATTTCATAAACTGAATGGCTGCTTTTGAACCGCCGAAAAATCTCTAAGTCTTTCTCTTGGAGTGTTGAGCAAGGAATTGGTGTAATCGCTTCTTGAAGGCTTCTCTACTCAGGCCCGCATTTCCATCCGTACCGAGCATATCTTCTTCTTCTGCAAGGAGATCAAAATAGTGCTCAGACGTCGGTTGGACATCGGGGTACTGAGGCAAAACCAAGGCTTGAAGGTCAGCATCAGTCCTGCGCTCTGAGTTTTTTACTGCTGAATGTGAGGCCCGGAAGTATTATCGTCCAAATAAAGAGGACGCAAGTAAGCAGTTCTCACTCATTTGCTGTTATCAGAGAGCTGGGGCCTGGAAGATCTGACACCCGAACTCGGGCTCTTCATGAGCCCACACCCCTGTACTGTACGGTAGTACTTTATGCTCACTGATTACTTGCTTTGGATGTACCTGCCGACGTCCCCCATACAGCGGGACACCTCATTCCTCTGACCAAATTCTCCGAGAGACGGCAAAACTGTGCCGCAATTTCAGGATGCATGCTGCCTCGAAACCCACGTTGATTCGCTCAATAAGGTCAAATCGCGAAGCATTGCTAATAGTTCTTTTCGAACCTACACATACCATCATAACAAATAACCGACACAATTAAATGAAGTTGGGGTGAAGTTGACTCGTCGAGAGAATATCATCGTCTAAATACCCTTTGATGCATAAATGCTGAGGAGCCGTATCAGGACATAGGAGTCTCCTAAAGTGAATCACATAATTTAGGGGACTTCGGTCAAACAGAAATTTCCTGCTTTCATTCTACCCCTCTGTCATGCTATCCTGCCTCTTATCTGATGGAAAAATCAGCCACGCTCTGGAAATCCTTGCTGTTTTTGATTTCCTCGAAAATTAGTCCAACATGCATATTTGGGCCGAAATCCATCACCTACTGCGGAATAACTGCCAATATCCACAAGCTGCCAACGGGCGGTTAGTAGCATACAAATACTAAATGATTTACCATGCGGACACTAGCTATGTTTTTAGTTAGTACACCTGTGCTATCAGTATGGTAAACTGGCTGTTCCTTGCTGTTTCCACCATGCCAAAAACGGTCAACAATAAACCCGCCGAATAGTTATCAGTAGGCCATAAAAATACCTTCGTAACCAGTGTCTTCCTGGTCCTGGGGCAACGTTATACGCATGTTGTGTTCAGGAAGTTTCTCCTCCGTCCTCTCGAAGAACTAGGGAAGGAGAAATGATAATTTAGTGCACTTTAAACCGGGGTACAGCCAGAAAAAACACAATAGAACCATCAACGAAGACCGACACAGAAGGGATAAACACTTTCCTTACCGCTGCGGAGGTGCATAAAACTTGTTTCTGGTGGTGTAAAAGGGAAACAGTAAAGGCAAAAAATCCAACGACGATGGTTGCAACGACCTAAACAGGGAACAGTATGCATTCAGAAGTAGACCGTCAAAGACTGCCGAGGCTAAAGTAACAGCTACTCTGTGCTTACTTAGTGATCCCCTCAGTCAACCGTAGTCCTGGCCGGCAGCTGCGTATGGACAGAAAACCTGTGCAAAAACCACGGCCACCAGTGCCTCTCCACCAGCCTTTCAGCGATTCCTACCACCCAAAGACAAGACCAGCGTGCTCTGAGACGCCAGCGAGACCACAAATGACGTTCGCCTGGCTGGTTTTCACGGGCTCAAATGCAGAGACAGGCTGCCAAGTAGAGTAGACAGCAGGGTCGGAGAATTCCTAGCACACCAATTCGATGAGTTAAACCCAACCACGACAGGGTTGTTGATTTTTGCCGTTATAATAAAATCTTTGTCCGGCCGACGCGGGACGGCCAAAAATTACGAATTGCATCGACTGACTCCTCATCACATCCAAGTTCATCTCGGCTTGGTTAGGGAAAGCCAGCTTGAGGGTTATAGAGGAGCCAAAAGTGAAAATCACCTGGGAGGGCATGCTTTTTTCGTTGCTGAGAAGTAAAGCATAAGTATCTCCATCATTTTTCCTCAATACTCCCAATCCGGACACAAGGTCAGAGCACGTCCGACCAAATTCCCACTATGGCCAACATAAAGAGTTATTATTTTGAACAGAGAGGATGGAGACGGGTTAATGTGAGGGATTTAGAAGCAAATACAAAGCAAAACCGCCAGTGATGGAAGTGAGATAAGAGCATTGTCGATCATTGTGAACCACCGTTTGTGCCAGAAATTTTTCCTCCAAAACGTCACTGCCAGGCGGGGAAACACTCAGCACAAAAGCCTTGTCCATTCTGACCAACACAAATGGGGTGATCAGAAGAACGAAGGCGAACAGAGATAAGCACATACATGTAAAAGAAGGAAATGTGTCCTCTGAGGAGGACAGTTTTCGCATCTGGCGTTTCTCAGTCCGAATTGAGAACAATATTAGGGATAAACGACAAGGGTTAAGCAAGGCTTTACGTACATCATTCAGACCTACTTGAGATTAGACAGCCAGAATATATGCATATTTACGTACTTCCGCATTATTAAGTTGTTTGAGTTGCTCCTCCACGTCAACCTCACTCAGTTCTGCAATGAGTTTTTGCACCTTGGCTGAACAGAGTTTTAGGAGAGCCGAAGTGGGATCACTGGTGGTAGCGTCTGTCTCGCCAGGCGGTGTGCCGCCCTCCCCTTCCTCCGGCGTCTCGGGTGTGTCCACACGAATGGACTTCAACTTCTGCACAATCTGTTGGATTCCCGATTTGCAACGCACCAACAAGTAGGTGGCCTCAGTCAATTCATTTTCCACTTGTGTTAAGCCAACGCTTTCTTGTTCAGCCTGAGACACGTACTCATTCAGGAGTTTTTGGTTACTACAATCCAAATAGCAGAGGATAGACTGGTTTCAGAGGTACTGGCGACAGAATCAAATATTATATAAGGCAATTGTTCCTCATTTTTACGTTAACTCGTACAGACAGCGATTTACATCCTGACAGGTTAGGGGTAGGGAGGGCTTTGCATGAATTGTACCAGTATTGTCATTTTTTCAGTCCGAAATCCAGTAGTCGTATGAGCCCAAGCCTAGGAAAATTGGTGAGAATGATAACGCTAGAACTTGGCCTGCCTTATGTGAAGTAGAGGAGATTACAAAAACGTTAGGTAACAATCGGGAGATGGGACCCAAAAAATCCGCTACCGAGAAATAATACCTTTAACAGTGGGCTTAAACGCCTTCAGGCTATATCAGCGATTGCAGGCCTACTTTCACGCACTACATGGACTTTCCCCGACGGACTAACATGGGCTGGCCGAAGGAACATCTCAGGAGGTTACATGGACGATGGTCACTGTTACCCAACCCTCCCCATCGTTACACACATACACCTGAACATACGGCATGCATTCGCATTATGGCAGTTTATTACAAAACAAAAACACTTTTAAATAGGATAAGTCTGCACAGCATGGGACAAGAACAGTTCCCAGGCATCTGTCAAAGACATGGCATTGAGGCCAAACCAAAGACGATACTGTACTTCATCTATGTGAGCTCACACAGCTCGACCACATACAGGGCCTCCCTCGTGGAGTTTCCTTTTCAGTCTACTCCGTTATGCCTCAATGGCATTGGTGTGCCGTCCGGTGGTAGGGTCGTTGAAGTTCTTTGAGTGGTTAACAGAGAAATGCAGATAATCTTCTGAGAGAAGACGATTTTACGACCTCAACTCGTCCGTTGTCACTATACTGCCTTTGGCGACCCATTATGTAATAGCATAACGGAGAGCGGGTCAACTTCGATCATTCACCTGTTCAAATAAGGCTTTCGGTCTGCTAGTATCGTACATCCCGACCAGCCACCACCCATTAAACCCCTATTACCACGCGTCCCGTGAGATAAGCTGCTTTGGCTAGGCGGATTTTTTGGGTGCCATCTCCCGATTGTTACCAAAAGTTATTTTCCAGAAAGTTGGTTCTGCATGACAGTCTAGAGAGAATCGCCAATAACTTGTCAACGGTCGTGAGTCTGTCTACACAGCAGCTTCGAAAAGAGGGTTGTCACTACTCACGGCATTTGACTCCCTAATCATAGCGCTAAGCGCCATCCCCAGTGGATCAGTCTTTAGGACCGACCAGTCCATGAGCCAGTCGAAGACTTTAGTCCTAAAACAATCATGTTGGCTGTATGGTGGGATATTCGAAATGGGAGTTATTATGCTCTGATCGGAGTACAATCATACAACCACGACTAATGCCAACTTCTGGTAACTTCTCCGTCTGACATCTGCTCAGGAGAAGACCCCGGTAGAACGCAGTTATAGGTACCCTAATATTACAGGTGGCCTTGCCCTAAATGCCAGGCGGGGGGAGTGGCTGAAGTTAGTATTAGGAGGCTTAGCGTAAGGGTTGGGGTCAAAACTCGTACACGAAAATAAATGAATTCCCTGGAATTTATTGCAGGTCCGCCTGCGGTACGTGGAGCAACTAAACTCGTATCCAACTAAAACCAACCAAAGGAAGAGGATCATTTCCCACCACGATAGGGACTGTGTCCACACTGCAAATGTACGGCAGCGAGGACTGCAGTCATGGTGTCTATCAGTCACGGATTAGTATAAAGGAGAATGCTTCGATCTCGAGTTTTGAGTATGAATATCACACAAGTTAAAGGCGCACTAATCAAAAATGAGCTCTCAGCGACCGCCAAGCATCCGTGTGCACTAGCACCGAGGGATCTGTCCAGAGAATCAACTGAAACCACCAAAGAAAGCATGGAAGGCATCGTTAAGGCTGGGCAACGACATCTCAGATGGAAGGCAATGCATACGTTGCGGCATCTGGTGTCTATTCGACACTTTCCCCTCCCCATTTAGCAGTAGACTTTTGTCTATGGCTCCACTAAGTGGTCCTTTATGTAACGGCCCTGCGTCGAAATCTATTTAGACCGAGGAGCTAAACCAGACGGAGCTGGTGGTTATGTCCTCCCCAGGTGATTTTTTCTGTTTATGACCTGCTTTACGGTGTAGGAATGAACTAGGCATGTAGTGGTTTAATAAGACCAGGCTCAAGCCAGACAAGCCGTCGCGTTAGCGTAAGTGCTAGTCTTCCTGACGCACTATTTTCACTGGACCACGATGAGACTGGGGAGGGAAAGATCGCGATCAAAGTTGAGCAGGTCCTTTCTGCTATTAATTCAGGGCAAATCCTTTCCAACTTATCCATCTTCGACGCCAATTCCATAGAATTCGTTCTATCCACACCCCTTCGGCCTCGAAGAACCAATAGAAAGGGCGTGATGCAATTCTGCAGGCGGCCCACTACACCGATCATAAACCACAGCTCGGTTCAGCAGCGTCTAGTATGACTAAGCAGCCCTATTTAGGAGGCCGCTGATTATCCTCGCAGGGGAGGATGCTGCAAAAGCTGTTTGGAAGAAATAGTGGCTTATGTCATTGGCGTAGTTGGCCGTGGCTACTGGATATGATACGCAGTCGAAAGTAACAAACAGCAACAGTGTTTATTCTCAACGTCCTCCCCTTCTCGTCAAAATGACTTTACTCACTCAAGCAACCTGGAATGTCCGCCTTCTGTTAGCTAATACAAAACCGAAACGATCAGAAAGAAGGGCATTTTTTGTTGCTTGAGAGCTGGCTTGCTACAAGGTGGACATTGCGACCCTCGGTTAGTCAATTTGGTGAGCAGGAGCAGGGTATGCCTTTTTCTGGCGCGGCCGTTCTAAGGAAGGGCAACGAAAGACGGAGACCATCCAACCCATCAAAAACGAGAACATCAGAAATCGCATTCCCCTCCGCAGGACATCAGTGTCCACCCCATCAAGATGCAACTACCACTAAGCGAGTATAAACATGCCACCATCACAATGCCCTACCCTCGGGCAATACCAAGTCCTGACTTCGTCAAGGACAACTTCTACGTCTTCTTTTACGTCCTTCTGGTATCAAAGCCGAAAAATGAAAAGCATATCATCCTCGGGAATCTCGGCGCATAAACAGGGAAGGGGATGCATGGTTCGCACAGAATAGAAAGGTGCCACGGCAGATGTCTTCTGCTACCAGGGACCTATTGGATATCGATATGGCCGTTTGCCCCTCTCTTCCTCCTCCTCCTCCTCCTCCCCCTCCTCCTCCTCCTCCTCCTCCTCCTCCTTCTCCGACCTCAGGGAGGCAACTCCAATTTATCCTAGTTTACATCACCGGCAACTACTGAATCGCGTTCTCGTCAGAAGGCGAGGCCGTCGGGGCATTTATGTGGGGTGATGCCAAATTCCGACCGATCACCGTGTGCTCTCCTTCAAATTTAAACCCGAAAACAATCTGAGAAAGGCAGCACCGGATCAAACTGATGACAGTAATGGGTCAAGCTGAACGTAGGAAGGATCCCACTAGAAATATGTATGCGAACTCCGAGCGACCGCAGGTCCTGGAGTTTCGAAAACAAGTGGAAAAGACTGAAGTGCGCTATCTACATCACGGCCACGGAAGAACAAGGACCCACAGACAGACAGTTGCAGGTCTGCTGCGAGAATGATGATCAAGAAATCCGACGCATGCTCTTCGAGGACAGCAAGTCTTATCCGGATAACTAAATCACTGGTAACTAGTCCGTTTTCTCTTCCATCTGTTGCAGGAGATGTAGGAAACATTGACTAGATAGCAGTGCAAAAATTTAAGCATGCGCAGTTGTGAAGGAAAGAGGAATCTGGCGGCCGTTAAGTCACTCTGCGGTCCACCGCAATTGCGCTGTTGCTCATTTCACACGTAACTGCTCAATTGCCTGAGGTTGCAGATTCTGAAGCGTTGCACTGAACACTGAGAAAGTTCGCAAATGTTCATCTCCGGTCTGTAAGACAGTCGGATTTACGCAAATAGAAACTAACAGTGGGATTTATCGTACGAGAAAATCAGGCCAGCGCGGCAGTGTCGACAGGAACTTTGTCCGCATTCACCTCAGTCGCCCGAGAACACACCTGGAGGAAGTACTTCACTCAGACACTCAAAGCATCTTCTGGGAACATTGCGTAGAGTGGACGATCATAGTAAAATGCCAGGAAAGGAGGGCAAGTACCTACGCAACATTTTTAGATCTCAAGGCCTCAGTAACCTGAAACTCCATGGACTCTGGAAAACCAAGATATAATTTGGATTAATCGAAAGGTTCATATTAGTGGCCAAGCATCTCCACGACATGATGGCATGTGTTACAGACAATGGATCAACCTCAGAGACAGTTGCCATGACAAACCGAATAAAAACAGGGTGGCGTGTTCGGCCAGTCCTCTATAGTCTCAAGTTCGCTGCAATGATAATCGAAGCCTGTAATGAAACGTGGCCCGGAATCGGCATCAGCTGCTGGACTGGTGGAAAGCTATCAGCATCTGACGAATACACGCAGGCAGAAAAATCTCAAAAGTCAGAATAAAGGAAGATTATGCATTAAATCGGCTGTCAGCTAAACCAGATCATCCTCGCTTCTGAGTGCGCCAATTTCGAGTCCAATATCAAAACGGGGAGACCAGCTGTCAGACAAAAGTTGGCACTCATCGAAGATTATGCGGCGCCTTTGCCGTGAACGAAATTTAACCCACCAGCACGGACAAATGCTCTCATCGTGGAAGCACCATAAATAGAGACATTAAAATAGGCGAAAAAATTACAGCCCGAAGATTTAAAGTCAGCCGGCTTTATGGGCGACCTCAATCATGCGCATGAAACTGCAGGAGCATTCGTCGTAACACCAGACTATAAGCTCACGGGAGTGAAGTCTTAAAAACCTCTTTATACGGCGCAGAGACCTGAGTACTTTATTACAACTAGGCGCAAAAATTCAAGGATTTTGAGCTTAACTATCTCTGGTCGATATAACGGGTCCAGTGGCAAAAGTTGACCCAGGGCACCCAGGTCAGGGAATTTAGCACTATGCCCAGAATCTTTGCAGTTTAAAGACAAGCCCAGCTTCGATTAAATGGCGACGTCACAAGAATGTCTAACAAGCAACTAACAAAACGATTCGGCAATGGTCACGTCAGTAGAGGCACTTCTTGACAGGTAAAACGAAAAAGCGTTGAATGGCCACCTTGAAAGTCTCTCTCAAATGTCTTTGAATCGACAATGAGTCCAGAGAGGCCCTCGTAAAGGACCGGAAGGCATGGCTAACTGCGGTAAAGAACAACGCAACAAAGTTTGGCGCCACTTCAATACAGGCCAGGATAAGTGGTATGTTGGTAAAAGTGGAATGCCGGGGACGCTGACAACGACCAAACCCCTTCCCGCATGCCTTCATCGTCAACGCACATCAAAGTTTGACAGTGGTTCTTTAAGAAGCTTCGCAGACATCTCAGCACTATCAAAGACAACAGCAATACTAGAGTGAGTATCATAAGAAAATTTGGTCTACTACTGTATGCCTGCCCATTCTATAGGGGGATATTGCGGACCAGAACCGCCCCAAATGTATGCCTGAGAGTTTAATTTCACATGTCCAAACCTACCTCTCAGACCAGCTCTGTGCCGCTGATCAAACCGCCCCGTCTTTCACACCCACTAACGCCTGCTTCGGGGCATTTGCCGTTCCATTACTGGATCCGACAGGTGTTCTATAAAGAGGCTGCGAAACCCAGTTTTACGCAAATGACTCCCTGTCACTATTTTCTCAGTTTCCGCATCTGTCCAAACTTTATTTCTGGGTCTGCTCCACCTGCCCACTAACAACACCCGTAAAAAAACGTTGGTCCAGTCGGAAATCTTTGCATCTCACCATAAAGAGGACTGTCATCGACTAAGACAGCCTAAATATCGTTGGAGGCGTTTGGACAGTTAGCAGACAAGGGAAACAGACAATGCCACGTGCGAGTGGTAATCACCACTTCATCATGATTGAAGGACACAAAGAGGGCGCTATTTATGCCTTAAGGTTGTGGTCAGGAGTCCAAACAGGTAGCAGCACAGTGAGGAACAAGCAATGACTGAGAGACGTTGCCGACAAACGCACTATTATGAACTAATGGGGTCAACTCGAAGTCGGGAGAGTACCGTCAGCGACACCCTCGGGGATGGCCATGTCAGGAATAATCCTAGTCTTATTAAATACAAGTAAAACAAATTACCCGGGGTCTTAGAACGAGCGATCACAAAGGATGTCGCTGCTCACCAGAATACCCAGACTCCCCAAAAATAAATGTGTTTAAGACAGGTTTACCAAGAGTCCTTTAGTCTTGCCGAAATCAGAATTATATACTTGCCTATTTAATTCAGCTTCCCCATTGTATTTCATTTCTTCTAATTCAGTGCGCAATTTGTCACGTTCTTCACGAAGTTTTTGAATGGTTACTCCAGCGTCATTTTGCATTTTTGTAAGGTGGTCCAGGGTCTCGCCCAAAGATTCCATACGCTTGACCATCT